CTACACTGAGACTATTTGAATGGTTAGAATAAAGGTATTTATAGAAAGGACATCATAAAGCATACATTATATTCTTCAGAACAGAGGGAGGAACAACTCCGTAAAATATGTTGCATAACATTCCCGCAGTTTAGTTTACCTGGGGAGGATTGTTTTTTTTTATCTTTTTTGAATTTTTGGAGCTTCACTTTAAAGAAGTTTTCTAGGTTATAATAAAATAGATAGCTACACTCCATATACCCCCTCTATCATTTGCCACTTTCCAGGTAAAGAAAAAATCTACTTTTTTTTTTTTAATTGATCTATTAGCCTGTGACCAGAATATTATATAATAGTGGGCAGATATGACAGCTTTGCCTGCTTTCACTGTCCTCATGGACTCATTCATACTTATACAAGCTGCAAAATATACTGATATTGACTTAAATGGCTAAGGTCAGTGCATCAGATCTTACCACCCCAGCTGTCCTTTGTCTGTGGCGGCAGTGGGGTTAACAGCACTGATTAATGGGAAGACTGGGAAGACTCGGCCATGGATGAGATGATAGCAGATAATAGCACTGCTGAGGCCCAGATCAGTGATTCTTGTAGAATGTCACAGACATGTCTTGTGTCCCAGCCTGGTGCTGGAGATTTATTTTATCTGCACTAGGAAGTGTAGCATGAAGGGGAATCTCTGAGTGCGGCCTGGCAAGAGCCTGCAGAATGGGCATGCGGTTAATGGGAACTCTCCGGCTGGCTGCAACTTGGATTTAAATGTTCTGTAAAATTACTGCCATGATTTCAATGTCATCGGGATGTGTTTTTATGATTATGAGCTCTGGCTGCCTTTTAATAACGTTTGGTTAAACACCTCCAAATCTCAGCTGCAGAAGACTGGGTGCTGCCTGAAGATGCCATGATAATTTTAACCCCTGATTTACTGCAGAGAGCCGATATCCTATACGGTTTACTAATAACAAGGTAGGCAGTATTCATGTTCATTTGAGAACTTTCTGTACTTTCAGGGGAAAAAAAAATCTACATCATAAACCCATGCAGTACTATTTCACTCTATCAAAATATGGGAAAGTCTAAGAAAAATATTATATGGGTTCCTAAAGAGAAAGAGTCATAACTGGGGTTATGTAAAAATTGTAATATTTAGTAGAAGTTATTATAAGAAAAAAAAAAAAAAACTTACATGTACCCACCTTTTTCAGGTTTATTAAAGGCAGCCATAAATGGCTAAAATTTTGGAGATTCCTGTTGAATCAGCTGAATGCCAAGCCATTGGTGGCTGTTTTGGCACCATCCTGCTTAAGAAAAATCAATTTAAAAAAATAGGCAGGTGGAAACCAGTGACTAGTGCATCCAGTTGGCACTTGTGGTTATCAGAATAAAAACAATAGCTAGCAGGAAAGATTAATCCATCATTGCTGTTTAAGAATTTATTATATTTCTCTTGATCTGTCATCATTTATGTGTGCCTAAGACAACACTAAACACTGACTTGTGCCTAGTGTGCACTTACAAGGGAAGTTCCACTTATCCTGTCAAAAAATAAAAGTAAGCAGCTACAAAAACTGTAGCTGCTGACTTTTAAAAAACAGCCACTTATCTGTCCCTCGGTTCCACAGTGTGTCCCCCGCAGCCCGTTTCACCGGCCATCCTGTATTCTAGGAGGCCGGCATCTTCAGTGTGGGAACCCGGCTGTGACAGCTTGAGGGTTCACAGCCGGACACCCACTGCGCATGCGCGAGTAGCGCTGCACTTCATGAATGGTCCTGTAATCTTCTGGGACCTGTCATGTGTCCCAAAAGACTACAGGAAGGGAGGGTAGGAGGACAACTTCCACTTCCTATCGCCTAGGCGATTGGACCGGAAGTGGGAGTGGGTACCTGTCAGATTTGGGTACCTGTTCCTTCCCCCCCGCCCCCCAAAGGTGCCAATCCTTAATGGGGAGCAGTCCTTAAAGCAGAACTTCCCATTTTGGGTGGAGCTCCGCTTTAACAAGAGAAATCTATGTGTATAGCTAGCTTTACATTGTTGTCCTCTTATCTGTCTGACCTTATGCTGAAAAGCACACTGCCTAACAGCTCCTGAGTAAGCATAACATTATCAAACACAACCCCAGGTTTACACCTACTGATACTGTTCTGCATACTTAGGAGATGAGAGACTGCATGTGCTGTATGGTAGTAAAGTACTGCAGAAAATAGTTGCTGCTATATAAATATCTGTAATATTAATCAGTATGAGGCCAGGCAGCTGATGAGCCTGACTTGATATAGCTGAGATTTCCAGATCATCTGACTCTTAAAGTGGAACATATGTTTGCTGAGTGAGAGTGAGCTTTTGCCATAATGTGCAAGTTTGCATAGTAGTCTTGCACATTATAACATACGTAGCTACCAGCATGCTGCCCTCTAGCACTGGTAAGTTCAGGCTTGCTGTTGCCATTCCATCCCTTATTGCTGCCATCTTCTCTACCACCATGTCTCCCGACTCTCCTTTTCAGCCACTGTAAGCAATGTATGCTGTGACTTTTGAACATGCGCACAGTTACATCATCCCTTATACCTTACTTATTCTTTATCCAAACTCCATTGTACCCCCAAACAAAATAAAACAAATGCTGCTCTAGCATGTTAGAGTGTTAGCTGGAGTGGGGTTTTATTTTTTTTGTCACTTACTTAAAGTTCATTTAAAAGTACAAGTCTACCTAAGACTGCCCTATCCACAGGGTGACAGGTCTGTTGTGCAATTTCACTGCAGAACAAAGAGCTTGTCACCTTGGTAAAGGAAGTGGAAAATAATAGATCTATTGGCAGGAATGGCAGGTAATAGAAATATGTTACAGGGGAACTCAAAAAAACAAAAATGAATGTAATATTAGATTTTGCCCAGATTTCACTTTAGGGCTTGGATTTCAGAAGGAACTCTACAGTATATGGTGTCCCCCCTCCCGATTTGTATATGCCAATCAGTCTTCAGTAAAGAGGCTGATTCTTCAGGACGCCTTTTCATTCATCATATTCTGTTATGTGGTCTGGAAATAAAGGTGTTAAGGTGGAAGTAAGTGTAGTGATGGCTTGAATCCATCTCTAACTGTCAAATACCAATGAAAAATGATCTATCCACCAATTACACTGAATAAATCAAATCTTTATCTCCTCTCTCTGTAACTGTTGTATTCACTGTTCATTTAAGCAGTCAAATTCAGCTTCCAGGGGGATATCAATCCCTAATATTTTCCCATTTTGCCATTTTTTCAAAATGTAAAATAACAACCTAACCGCAGTTACTAAAATTGAAATGTCATTGATCAAAATGATTACATTAGCAATTGCTAAGAGATAAAAGGTCTACTACACTTAAACAGAACCTGCCATCTAAAAAAATACTGCTTGAACACAATCACAAATGAGAAAGAAAATTAGTTCAGAGTGCCTGAGTCTGCAATTTTTCTCTGTGCTTACTGGATTAAAGTAGAACTCTAAGCTAAACATTTTTTGTAGTTCTGGATGCATGTATGCAGTGACAGTGTTCAGGTTTTTTTATTGCTTGAACAAACAATTTGCACTGTACAGTCACCTCATACAGCATTAAATATTAAGATGGCCAGAGACAGATCAAAGTCTGGCCAGTTAAGTAGGGACCAGATTAATTTTGATCAACATGTGGCCATTCCTGTGAGACGCAAGTGGATCGTTAGATTGACTTCTGTCGAACAGTTGTCAAATTTTTGTCAATCAGCTGCTGCAGCCAATCAGCCGCAGCCGCTGATCAGTGTATTCTGACAGCACTGGGTAACGATGGCTGAGCAATAAAAAGACCTACTCATCTTTTGGCCTCTTTAGGTGCTCATCCTTCAGTGGTACAGATAAGGATCTGGTGAAAGCCAAAGAAAGACAGAACTCCATGACTTTTAACATGACATTTTACTTATGTTCCATGAGATACCAACTTTTTAGAAACACATAGGTCCCTTTTTTCAAGGTGACAGACAAAATGGTTCTGTCACTGAAGGGGGACTTAAAGTGTAACTACACCGCATGTGAGCACCACAAACCAAAAACACTATTTCATTATTTTTTAATATTCAAAAAACTCCCCCATCCATCTATGTCTCCATGTTTTTTTTTTTGCTGAGAAATCACTTTGAAAAACACTCCCTAGCATTTCTGACCGTGGCATCTTAAGTAAGGGCAAATATTTAATGTATCATTTGTTCCTGGAATCCAACTGCCCTTAGCTCAAGCATACAGGTAGGAGGGTGTGCTTACCTGAGAAAGCCCCTCCTTCTCAGCTAAGCACACCCTTTGCCTAGACCTGGAAACCAGGAAGTAACTGAAGAAATGTACAAAAAAGTTTAAAATAAGTAAATATAATATATTTTCCTAGCTATTTACTAATGCTAGCAACAAAAGGATTAAAAATAGTCAATGTTGATTGAGAGAGTGAAGTTCCCCTTTAAATGTCCGTGAAAAATCAGTATCTCATAAAACACAAGTGAAATGTAATGTTAAGGGTCCTGGTGTGCTGACTTTCCAATATCATCAGGACTTTATTGCTGACTGTGTCCCCATCAAAATACCCCCCCCCCCAACACTTCCTGTACCAGAGACACAACAGGAATTGAGAGGTTCTCTCTCCAAATAGAGTTGAAACCTTTGGGTTGAACAGAATGAGTTGAAACCTTCTTTGTCAGCTGCTGCCAGAACAGTCCCCAATGTGAAGTTCTCCTCACCTCCTGTTTCAGTGACAGCTATAGCAAAGTGATTTTGCAGGATATAATTAGATTTTTTAATTCTTCATTCTTCTACCAGGGGTTCTTAATCTGGGTTTCATGGACTCCTGAGTGGTCCATGGATGAGTTTCAGGGGGTCCCTAAGGGTCGGATAAAAAATAACCATACACTATATTGCCAAAAGTATTGGGGCACCCCTCCAAATCATTGGATTCAGGTGTTCCAAACACCTCCATGGCCACAGGTGTATAAAATCAAGAACCTAGGCATGCAGACTGCTTCTATGAACATTTGTGAAAGAATGCGTCGCTCTCAGGAGCTCAGTGAATTAATGCGTGGTACAGTGATAGGTTGCCACCTGTGCAATAAGTCCATATGTGAGATTTCCTTGGTACTAAATATTCCAAGGTCAACTGTTAGTGGTATTATAACAAAGTGGAAGCAACTGGGAAAAACAGAAACTCAGCCACGAAGTGGTAGGCCACGTAAAATGGCAGAGCGGGGTCAGCGCATGCTGAAGCGCACAGTGCGCAGAAGTCGCCAACTGTTTGCAGAGTCAATAGCTAAAGACCTACAAACTTCAATTGGCCTTCAGATTAGCACAACAGTGCGTAGAGAGTTTCATAGAATGGTTTTCCATGGCTGAGCAGCTTCATCCAAGCCCTACATCACCAAGTGCAATACTAAGGGTCAGATGCAGTGGTGTAAAGCACACTGCCACTGGACTCTAGAGCAGTGGAGACGTGTTCTCTGGATTGATGAATCAAGCTTCTCTTTCTGGCAATCCAATGAACGTGTCTGGGTTAGGTGGTTGCCAGGGGAGTGGTACTTGCCTGACTGCATTGTGCCAAGTGCAAAGTATGGTGGAGGGGGGATTATGGTGTGGGTTTGTTTTTCAGGGGACGGGCTTGGCCCCTTAGTTCCAGCGAAGGGAGCTCTTAAGGTGTCAGCATACAAAAACATTTTGGACAATTTCATGCTCCAAACTTTGTGGGAACAGTTTGGGGTGCCCCTTCCTGTTCCAACATGACTGCACACCAGTGCACAAAGCAAGGTTCATAAAGAAATGGATGAGAGAGTTTGGGGTGGATGTACTTGACTGGCCTGAACAGAATCCTGACCTCAACCCGATAGAACACCTTTGGGATGAATAAGAGCGAAGACTGAGAGCCAGGCCTTCTTGTCCAACATCAGTGCCTGACCTCACAAATGCACTTCTGGAAGAATGGTCAAACATTCCCATAGACACACTCCTAAACCTTGTGGACAGCCTTCCCAGAAGAGTTGAAGCTGTTATAGCTGCAAAGGCTGACTCAATATTGAACCCTACGGACTAAGACTGGGATGCCATTAAAGTTCATGTACGTGAAAAGGCAGGCGTCCTGATACTTTTGGCAATATAGTGTACATTCACTATACAACCCTTGCCCTTGTTCCAGTCAATGGTTTCCCATTGAAAGAAATTAAAGGAAATGCACCCTGCACTGCTTATAACACTGACTGCTATGCGTCTCTTGATGCATGGTTGGCCCATGTTTACCATTTAAATTTGTATCATGGTTCACTACACAACAGCTGTCTTGTGTCATTCCATAACAGCAAGTGCTAATTCTCATTTTGTAGCAGTAGTAGTAGTAGCAGTAGTAGTAGTAGTAGTAGTAGAAGATCTGAGCAGAATTAAAATTGTTTTGTTTAATTTGCACAAGATGATTGTTTTTCATTTTTTGTAATGAGCATCCATTACTTTTTGCATGAAAGGAAGTTTTTTTTTTAAGATTGTTTACTTTAATCAAATTTTGTATTTTATTATAATTTGCATTGCAAGGATTGTGGCAAGTTTGTTTTAAATATTAAATTCTGGCTAAAACTTTTTATTTTTAGATATTGTGATGGAGCATTAGACCTTTTTGTTTGAAGTTTACTATAGCCCTGTGTCCCTGAAGAAGCCACATTGTGTGATATTTTAGTTGCCGATTCCTGTCATATGATAGAATGACAAAAAAGTAGTGGTATTTGTTTTTTCATTCTGGATTCTTGCCACCGGCTCAGCAGTAAAATCATCTTGCAATTATTTTCAAACATTAGTAAACTATTTGTTTTAAAAGTTTTATTTTAAAGTGTAAATTTAGAGTGTACTTACTGTATCTGCCCTCTGACTGTTGGATTGTGAACACCGTATTAATTCTCGTACTGTTTTTGTACATAAACTCATGACTGGCAGCAGAAGAGAAATGTATGGCTTACTCCATCTGCCCTGCTGTGAACCTCAGACCTTATATGAACCATGGCCTTCTTTTAGCTAGACACATTGTATATTAAGGTGCTCAGGCAGCCCTCTGTCCTCATCCAGGCAGGTCTGAATTCCTTTACCACCAGAATAGCACGATGTGGAAATGTAACCTTTCTGTTATCCCCTCTGGGAAGTTCATAGTGATTCACAGAGGGTCAGGAAAATAAGAGGCAACTTTTTTTTCAGATGCTAAACAAAATATATTTGTATTCCTGATAAAAGAGCAAGCTTTTCATTCTATGAACCTTCAATATTATTTGAGACATAGATGCATTGATTTATTTACTGACCCATGTTTATGGTGCTGAAGCTCATTGAAATCTAACCTCCTTCTTATGTATGAGCTACCAGTATACATTCTGAAAAAATGACATTTATAATAATCTTACTAACACTCTCGCTATTTCACATTACCCCTGTACTCAAGTTTTTTAGACTAAACCGATTATTAAATACTTGAGCCTATTTAGAATGACTAAAGGAACCACTTGCAAAGTGAAGATGTTGCCTAAAGCATCCAATCAGAATGCAGCTTTTGTTATTTTTTTATTAAATTAAAATTAATACAGCTTTTAATTGGTACATTAAAAAACACAGTCCAGTTGAGAGATTTTATTTATATATTTATAGATATATTAATCAAGAAGTGTCTTGACACACATTCAACCTAAAAGTCATTATTGTGAGCATGTTGCTATTTTATTTACTTTCCAGTCCTATTCTTTGTTTCCAGTTCTTTGTATCTTGATCAGATCCCTTCTTTACTTTTTTTTTTTTTTCCCTAGAGTTTTCATCAGCCTCCCTGCTTTGTCTTCACTTCCTGAATTTATTAACCCCTGTTAACACCCGTAACTCCCCCCTGCTTTTATTAATTCCCAACTGCATCCAGGCCAATTTGGCTTCACAGCCCTGACAATTTCAAATTTCTGTGCTCAGTGATATATCAAGAATAACAAAGCACCAGAGGGAGCAAAGGTTTCAGGTCGGTACAATACATACTACTTTCAAACTGGCTTTCAGGCTTCTGAGCCCTTATCAATCCATTTGCTTTGCCTTTACCTTCCTGTCCCTGCACATCAATTACACCAGCGCTCCCCCTTAAGCACGTAAGGCTAAAGTTTCCTATAGCCTCGTTTTATAGACCCTTGTCTTTAATTGGCGATTCAGAAACTTTCACCTTTTAATTTGTACAAATTTTCTTACTTTCTCCATTTACTAGAAGAATGCAGTCTAATTGCTGATCTGGACAATATAACTCTAGGAATCATTTGGTATGACCACAAGTGAATATAATGCGGAAGCTCCGAGAGACAATACAGTAAGCAAAGCTATCCAGCACTGCTCATGTTCTGGGCTGGATTTAGCTATCAAAAATATACCATACAAATCCTATTCGTACTTGATTTAAAATACATTTTATCCCCCTAAATAAGATAAGAAAAATAATATAGTGTGGCCTTACTAATGGAAACATCAGTTGACTCTCCTGTCTGTCTGGGTGGGTGGGATCCACAAGGTAGCAGAAACAAGGTATAGATGTGATTCTACTGCAGCCAACCAGACACGTTATCCAATTGTAGAAAAGGGTAGTAGAAAATATTGAAGCTAGTCTAAAGCAAAACTTCTACTTCTCCAGTATATTATATACTATGTGTAGTTCTTTACTATAATACATTGTACATCTGATTTAACCATTAGGAAAGTCTAAATACACCACAAACCACAATGCTAAAATTTGGTTTTCCACATGGGTATATGAATATATTACACTCTATATCAGGTGTTACCAATCTGATTCAGTAAAGAGTTAAATGAAATCTTCCAAGAATCGCTCTCCGTTTCATCATACAGAGCCCCCAGGGCGCCAGACGGATGTAAATTCTAATTGGAAATCGAGTGTGTGTGTTTATACGTCCTTCTATGAGGCCCTCCCTCACTTCATTAAATCATTAACTAGATGTAGCAGGTATGAGTTTTGAAGCTTATTAATTGTGACTTGTTTTTCATTATGAGATAATTGTCAGTCAGAAAACATATCTGAGGAGAGGTAAAAGTTTTCATATAAAAGCTGGAGGGGGTCTGCTGAAGCCTAGTGCTAAGGTATACACCTTCCCTCTAAATAAACCTCTTTATCATTCTCCACTAAGGACTTGATTTCCTTGTGTAAACTGTTTTTCAAGCAAAATTAAAATCTAAGAACTCTTCAAAATGTTAAGCTATTGGAGAAAACAAGATGCCCAAGGCCTGGCCTTGACGTTATTGGCTTCTGATTTTACACAGTGCAGTTGCTTTAATTTTATTACTCAATGTATAGTCTTGGCATTACTGGTGCCTGTTTTTACAAAGAGCAGCTTGTTTAGTCTTGTAACTAAAAAGGTGCCATCTGCATTATTGGCTGTTCTTCTTAAAAAGTGCACTTAGTTTAGTCTTGTTACACAAGGTATGGTCTAACTATTATTTTCTCCAGTTCTCACAAACAAAAAGTTGGTTTGGTCTTCTTACTCATCTTGCTCTTATTAGCGTCTGTTCTTACAAAAAGAAGTTAGCTGAGTCTTGTTACTTAACATGGAACTTTACTCCACAAATGGGTTCTAAGTCCCTGCCTCCAATTCCCTCTCCACAATAATAATAGAAGGTTTTTTTTCCACTTTCTTTTTAGGTGTGAGCCATTTTCTGGTGGCCTTGCTCTCTGCTGCCATCCTTGCCTAGGTGGGAATGAAGTGTCCTGCTCCTGTAGCCTCCTGGGACAGCTGTCCTATATCACAGGAGGCTGCAGGAGACAATACACAGAACAACCAGAGGGCAGAGCTCGATTGTGTCATGAGAGGTCAAGCAACCAGAACATAGAGCTGGCTAGGGAGACCAACATGGCAGTGTGGGACACAGGATATTGCATCTGAAAAGCAGTTTTCTGCAGGCCACTCCTGGATTTTCTGAGCAAGTGAGAAAGTTTTGTGAAAAGAATTCGGCATAACAGGTAAAGGGGGATAGGAGGAAGAAAAAGCCGGGGGGGGGGGGGGGGGGGGGGGGGGTGGGAATTCCACTTTAAGGAATACTCCTACTACCACTGACTCCTGTTATACAGGGGTTATTTCTAAAAACTGGAGAGTGCAAACTGATGCAACTCTACATAGAAACTAATCAGCTTTCAGGTTTTATTGCCAAAGCTTACTTGAGCAAGCTGAAGTTAGAAACTGACTGGTCACCATGCACAACTGCACCAGATTCTGAGTGCACCAGATTTAGTAAATCTACCCCACAGTGTTTAGTTTAATTTTTTTATTTGGGGTATGGTCTTTCCACTATTGGCTTCTTTTTTTACATACTGTTGTTTGTTTAGTCCAGTTACTCAAGGTACGGTCTAGTCATTATTGGCTCCTGTTTTTATATAGTGCTCTTAGTTTTGTTTTGATAACACACCGTCTTTCCATAATAATCTCC